AGAAGGGCACATCTCTGGATGTTCCAGAAGAAGTGGGAGTTACTGCAGCACACACCTGGTCATTCTGCACAGCATGTCTGTGGAATCTAGGTGACAGCTGTGGAAGTTGTTAGCCAGCTCTGTCCCCTCGCAGCGACCTGATTGATGAGCACATGCAGTAACATGCCATGGAGCACTGTGCCAATTTGTTGCAGTTTGCATTGGCACGGTGCCACAAAACAGCACTTATGTATGGTAGAGAGGTGTGTTTTTGTGTTGAAAGCTGTATCACAGCTTCCTACATATAAATGAGGTTGTAACATCGAATGCCGTGTTCCTACAGCAAGGAGGAACCGCCCTGCACAGTGCTGCAAGAATGGGTCACGTGGACGTTGTAGAGGCACTGGCCAATCACAAAGCTTCAATAATCTGCCAAATCGGTGACCTGAAAGATGCCTCCGCTGCACGAAGTATTGCTGTATGAGGTTGTGGAGTACTACCCACAGCAGGATCGCCTGGGTGCAAGTCTTGGGAACTTTGCCAGTTTGGCACCTTGCTGTTATGTGGCTTTGATGCGCTGTGCCATCTGAGTGCAGGCCTCCGTGTCTGATGTGTTGGTTGTGTATGTGACACACAGGGCGGAATCACTGCTATGGTGATCGCAGCCAGCAGGGGAAATATCGATGTGGTCAGGTGGCTCATTGCCAAGGGCGCCAACATGAGGCACAAGAACAAGGTGTGCCCGTGGGTCAGACTCCAAACGAGCAGTATCTTGAAGCATATAGCTTTCCCTTCTTTTGCAGTGAACTGGCCATTCTTGCAATCGATCACCCATGTGCTGCACCCCTGTTTGTTGCTTTGAACCATCCTGCCATGGAACTGCAGACCAGAGCATAGGTGCTGCGATTTTTTGTCCACTAATGCTTGTGATTCATTCTCTGATTCATGTGATTCATTCTCGTTCACCTTCACCTTTTCACCTTCACTACACTAACCTGGGAGGGACTAGCAAGAGAAGCACATCTTTTTGTGGTAACTACGTTCTTAGTGTGTTGGATTTCCCCCAAATTATGAAAGATCTGGAGATGTAGAACTACAGGGACTTACTAGGTGTGCTATTGCTTCCTGTGCTTGGCTGTGCCTTTTGGGCACTTTTGCCAGCAAGTTTGACGCCACAGTACTGCCCTGTTGACATATACATCGTGTGGGTGATGCAGGATGGCAAATCAGCACTCACTTCAGCTGTGGGGTTTGGGCACCTTGCCATTTTGGACCCACTCGCTGATATGGGGGCAACGGACCTGAGCACGGTGAGGGCCCGCCCTTAAAGATTTCCCATTACTGACTGCCTGGCTGGATAGTGGGCTGCTGGCTGGTTGACTGAGTGACTAACTATAACCTTACAGATAGCATGGCAGAAAGTTGCCGTGTTGTTCGTTGCTGTTGAACGTGATCATGAGACGCTTCAACATGCTCATGGGCTGCAGCAGCATTGTGTTGGTCAATGCACTGAAGTAAAGGGACCTGTGAAGGCAAGATTGTCAGTGCATGCTTTGATTATGCCTCATTCCTGGCATCTGTGAGCTTTAGCACATTGATACTCAGAAAAGGTATCCCTCATATGGTGCAAAGGACCACAACCCAGAGCATGAACCACCCATTGAACACAGTGTACAACACCACCTCATTCCCAGAAAGGACCCCTCAAATGTTGGTACCTCTCAAATGTTGCAGAGGATCACAGACCAGAGCAAGAGCCACCCACTGACCATGCCATAAAACACTACTGCATTCCCGGAATCTTTGAGCCTCATCACATTGACACTCAAAAAGGTGCCCCTCAATGCTGCAGAGGAACACAGCCCAAAGTGAGAACCACAAAACACACAACAGAGTCCCACATCATGCCCAGAATCTCTGAGCCTCAGCTCTTCGACTCTCAAAAGACGCCCCTCAATGTTGCAGAGGACCACAGGCAAGAGTCAGAACCACCACCGAACACCATACAGAGCACCCCACAACATTGTCCCAAGGCAAGTTTAAAAATGGGCAGTAAAGTCCAGATAAATAATGTACCATGACAGCACCCTTCACATGCCCCATATACATTTGGCATCCTGATGCCAAACAAAGCACAACAGAGGTGATGAATCCTTTACCTCATGTGTTGTGTGCTGTCAAATTGGATCATGTAGCGCTCATTTGTGTCATACCCTGTGCACACCTTGTGTGTTAGAATGTCAATTGGCACTGTGTACAGGCTATGATCTTCGTAGATCGTCCCTTCCTTTCCCCAATTGCAAACCCGCAACATCCATGACTGAAATCCCATGCGTCTGGTCACAGAAACTACAACAGGGTCTCCATGATACTGGTCCACATCAGCAGAAAGGTGAAATGGTTGGATGTCGGTGACATTGCATCGCTCGTGAACGGATTGGCCACAAAGAACTGAATGCGTGCACCATACACAACTTGGGTTCCAGCATGGGGCGGATTGTCATTGATGTACTTCATGGTCACATATTGGTTGCACCGCATGTGTGACCTGCAACACATGAACATTGTCACTTGCAATTTATGTACCAGACACAAGTATTGTTGCCACTCGTGAATTTATATATACTGCTAGTCAGAAGTTGTGTGCCAATGGCAACAGACAGTTGAACAGCAAAATATTGGATTCAATAATGGCACTGGATTATGCCCCTTCCTTTCTTTAGGGTAACTACTACTTCCGATATGATCTTTTGCATGTACCCTTTGCATGCTGACAGCAGTGCAACTTGTGTGTTGCCACAGACTATAATATTGCAGTATATCGTACCTCTGGTATGACCTGGATGATATCATGTTTGCCCCTGATTGTGTGGTAATGACTGCTTGTTGGAACACCTTGATTAGCAGACGGCCGAGCTGGACCATCTCAAGATCTTCTTCCCTCACCACACCATGGAAAACAACATGTTGCATTGCTCTCAGTAACACTTCCTTTTCTTCAGTCTTGATAGAGGCACCATTGCCTATCATATACACTGATGCAGAACAGTAAGGGTGGCTGGATGGCTGGGATTGTGTTCCCTTGCAGTCCACCCTTGGTAGTAAACCTGCTTTTGCACAACGTAGCTACTGGAATGCATCCTGGATGGTGCCTCTCTAAGCAACATTGACTTTGATACCCTCAAAGGATGCACCTTATGTGTTGTGCAAATCAAAATGTTCCGTTAATCAGTATGCATAGCACATCACTGGAAATTCGTTGTGTGGATCCTGCTTCACCTCCTGGACACCCTGTTCAACCCAAAATTTATGAAAGCCAGCAACATCACCCCAGGCCAGCTTTTGATCATGAATTGTGCAAATGAGTTGTTGTCGTTGCTATTTTCTGCGTGTGTCCAGTGGGGGATTCAGTATCTCGTTGGGGGCACCCCAGATTGCCGGAGCTCGCCAGATGTTCTCAAAAGCTTTGGTGGAGCACGTGCCGCAGAGGGTGATAGGAATTCCATTCAAAAAGTCGGCCATTAACATAATCAGAAAAGGAGCTGCGCCCAAAATAGAGGAGGGCAAGAAGGTTTTGTCTACTGTCAACGATTGGCTGGTGGTTCATGATCCATCACACTTCCAATTGATGTAGGCCCTGACCACCTAGATGAAGATGAGTTTGTCGTGACCGTCGAACATTTCATCAAGAAGGGAGAGTCGCAGTGCTTCTGGCCAGAAGCACTCACATGTGCCACTGCGCATGTGTGCATTGATCTGCACGTAAGTATGCTTATTAATGCACTATATATATGGATTGACTATTTGACCATTTATATAAGCAACAAGTAAATGTTCATGCACAACTGACTCAAATTGTGGCTACATATATAATATTCGAATATTCGGATATGTTGTAGTCAGTAGCCATGAGCATCAAGGCTGGATTATTGGCCGTAAAGGTGGAAGTAAAGAGACTGCGTGCAGAGGTGGACGTGCCATCGGAGTTGAAGGAGGACGTGGTGAAATTGAAGGAGATAGCAGTGATTGATATGGCAAGTAGATTAGGAGAATGACCAAGCCACAAAAAGAGTAAAAAAGAGCTGGTGCACCTCGTTTAGTAGGTGTACTTTGGTAAGCATTGAAAAGGTGCTATAGTTAAGAATGATTGCATTTTGCTTCGGCAAGTAGTACATAGAGTAGTTGGTGACATTGGCCACTGACATCGGCCATGGCTCTCCGTCCCTCCGCCACTGCGTGGGTGGCAATGTGGCAGAAGCCTGTCGAAGAGTGGGGGCTTGACGAGTGGCTCCCCTTCTTGGGGGCCTATCAATGCCCTGCCCTATGCCTAATTGAAAGCACCATACCGGGCATACCAGGAGACTGTTGTACAACTCCTGACGCCCCTGGGTGTTGGGGGTTGCCATATGCTGGACAGGAGGACAGGTGGTCATAGGAGGAATTGGACATGCATAGCATGAGCCTTGCCACAAAAGAGTAAATAACGATAATAAAAGAACAATTGGTTTTGCTCACTCAAGACAAGAGTTCTAAGGGATATTACTATTTGACTCAATGGGAAGTAAAATATTAGAGAGCTTGCACGCTAAATAATAGCTCAAGAAAAAGGGCGATACAAGGAAGTCGGTTGGGTGGATAGCACAGGCTAGGTCACGTGGCAAGGGAAATGGGATTTTAAATCGATTGAATTAATCGAGGAACAAGATGAACCTTAGCTCTAATGAGGTACACATTGGCAAGGACCCTTGGCGCTGAGGTGAAACAATGGACACTTTTAAAGTACTACAATCAATTAGTGTGGGAACATGGTGGAAGTGCAAACGCAAGTGCAGGGACAGATCTGAAAGGGTTATAAGAGCAAGTATTGTATGCAGTTTTGTGTAACAAACATGACTTGACGCAATAGTGCGGTTGGAATTCAATTGTCCAATGGCAGCCCATCACGGGCACACCATAGCGTGGTAGGGATACCAATGTGCAACCCTGGTTATGATCTGGTTTGAGAGCTTCACAACCTGACAAGCTTGAATTGGGGACACAAAACGCCAACTAGGGTATTGTTGTCAAGCGATGTCTTGGTTGGTTGTGCTGCAATGTGACTGGTAGGGTCAAGTAGAGCTTCACCATGCAGTGAGATTGTGACAATCTTGTGGCAACACCTGTGGAAGGGCGACTCCAGCTCAGAGGGGTATGAAAATGGTATAATGACAACCGCAAAGGTAGAACATCAGGATCGCAACACATTATCAACCCGTTGTACTGCCAAGGACACTATCCAAGGCACACATGATGATTGAAGCCCCAGGACATGGCAATGAGTAATCACAAGAAAGCCAATGGAGAATGCACTCAGTGAATATCAGGGAATTTCAGGGAATTTCTCCCTCCAATCTAAAGGGAATTTGGGAAAAACACACAAGGAGGCAGAGATCCACGTTCCCAACATCCCCATGTGTGGTTGGATTTCTGGCAAGGGGGGAACATGTAGTACCGCATTGAAAAGCTAAGAGCTGGCTGGTGAAAGCATTGACACACAAGGATGTTGGACATGCACATGAAATAAAAATGGTCTAATTGTCAAACTTGATGGAAACGAAGGACACCAGATACCAGCAACAGAGAAATCAGGAGCACAGCGCTGCTACAGCATCATTGAGACTATTAACCACTCAAAAGACATGTTTTGGCAATGACATGGCCACCTACAAGGGGGGATGGCAAAACATGTGGACCTGCACCAAGCTGTGAACTGCTGCAATACCACCCAATGGGACCCAGTGCAGCCAAACACACAAATCAGCCATGGAGGTGCTCTACGGGGAGATACATAACTTCTGAGCTGAGTTGAATGGTATCCAGGACCGGATCACACACCTCAAACTAGCACCCTAACTGTGTGGAAGGGTTGATTTCTAACTCAAGACCGCAAACAGCAATGCAAATTATATAGGATTCGTTACATTGGAACAAATCTCTCCATCAAAGTATTTTGCCTGTGTCAAGAACACATGGAAGACTCACATCATACCCCAATGCTACCAGCTGCAGTAACGGTGTCCAAAATCTAATCACAATATGTTCCCATGCAAAATATTGCGAACAAAAACATGATCTTATGCAAATGCCTACTCTCGAACGATGTGAAGGAGCTGTGCAAGAGACTTAAGAAAATGTTCAACATCAAGCACTATTTATTGACCGATATTGTTTGAGTGTGCAAGGTCATGTGTTGGATTGATTGAAACAACCTGGATCCTACCCTTTTCCTTGAAAAGGGAAACTTGGGATGGCTAGATGCATAAAGGAGAAAAGGGTATCTTCTTTGCTCCCAAGGCAGCAACGCCGGTGCCCAAAAGCCTGTGGGACCTTCCATTCATACAAGAATTGAAGGGGATTTGAGTGTTGTTATGTGGATGATTGTTTGAAAGAATTTGCATTGTGCAAACTATTGTGACAATGGTTTGAACAACTTTGGTGATGTGATATTCCAACATTGGATCAAATGTTTAAAAGCAAAAATCAGTTTTTTCAACAGAAAAATCCAAACATTAAATAAATCTGACTGGTCGCCACCTGCAAGTTTAGGAGGCGGAGGAGTATCCAACATAGGGAGACGTTGCGGCCTAAATGTACAAGAGAACGATGCATTACAAAATAATACTACTATTACCTGCAATAGTGCAAAACACAAGATGGACAACAAGTTGTCATCCTTACAGCCTCTAGGCTGAGCCTATGTATTTTACCAAATTGTGGCAGTTTTTGAGAAGTCTAGTGTGTCTAGTGAGTTGCATGTCCATTTGCCTCATGCCATTGGTAGCATTCATGCATTGACTAACATTTCTTGTTTTCCCAAATACGGGAGATGGTTGCTTGCAATGTGATACATTTGTCATTGACAGAAAGGGGTAGAACAACTAAAGCCAAAGCCAACCTTTGGATTCAGACTACATTGTTTTCCTAGCAAACCACTAATTTATCAGTTCACCAATTCCCATTCCTCTCTTGTCCAGACCAGGGGCCCATCACCGCGTTATAGATTGTTGCCATCCGCTCATTTCCTCATTGAAGAAATTGACACTTGGCCGCCCAAAAAGGAAGGTTTGCCTATGGGGTTATGCATGTAGAAGTTCAGACCATATGTTTTGGAGTGCAAAATGATCATTCAGACAGGTCATAACACATCGGCGTTCATGTTGCAACAGACCAAGGTAATGGGAGGCATTGCTTGCTTGGTTTGTCAGGGTTCCTCTCCAAAATCACCAAAAATCGTGGCAGGAGGCGACGACAAGATGTGGTGGTTCGACTACAGGCAATGATGAGTGTTGTGTGCGAAACAATGGAGGATGTGGTCGATTTACGCCATTAAAGTTTTCAAAAGACAATCCCAAAGAACTCTTTGAAAACAACAGTAATGTGATTGATGTAAACATGAACAAGGGGAACTCATTGTGTTCGGTACATTATGTCGATGCTGGCCAGAGATCCCATCTATATCAAGTATTGCACCAAGAGATGCATGTTTCTCTGTGTTTAGCATGTAGCTATTCAGCAGACCTCTACATTATTTTGATTCGCTACTTATATCTACTTCATTGTTCACTTGGCCATGATACACAGTAACAAATTTGTTGCCTTTAAAGGGAGTCTGTGTTGAAGCATAGGCCAGCACAGGCGGACAGCATTTTGCTGAACCAAGAGGACAACAACTCTCATCATGGAGAGCAAGGTGGCGTCAACGAAGGCTTGGAGTACTGCCCCATGATCGAAGCAGATTCTTGTTGTGAACTGGCCTTGTCTTCATCGGAATATGTTCATAAAAACTGTTTTCAATTGCAATAGCAGCTTACACATATGTGAATTGTAATGTTGCATAGACATGCCACTTGCTTCTGAGCACTCAGGATCTGATTGCGTTCTCAGCACACACGCACACACACACACACACATTCTCGCAATTATGTTGTTGTCGCTCGTTTCTCGCCTAGTTTGACATTTTTTTAAGTTCGGCAAATTACTTGTTAGAAGGTTTGTATGCTTCGTGGGTACAATTTCGTAATGGTGGCTACATTGGGGAGGGTGCATCTGAATGGTGACGGTTTAAGCATATGTTGAACCCCTGAATTTCTGATCCACATATTATGGTTGCGAAAGATGGCGAGCAAAAGTGTTTACATTTAAGGCTTGAGTTGTTCAAGGTTTGCTAGCAAGTGGGTGGCGAAATTTCAACTACTGTTGCACCCTCTTTGTTGAACATGGAGTGGACAAGGCTTGTAACATCTCGCTTGAGTTACTGCGACATGATAATGACGTCGAAGGGGCAGTCAACTGGTGAAAGTGTGGTGCTGAGTGGAAATGATGATGAATAGTTGCTTGGTGGTGAGAATGAGCCCCAATGCCTGGGGTGATGGCCTTTGATTGTGACAAGGAGCAGGAAGGTATTGATAAGGTTTTTGACAATTCATGGGACTGAACTGGCGATGATTAGTATGGGGAAGTTGTGGATGAGATGTCCAAGAGCGATTTTGAGGGGAAGATGAGCCATTGGCAGAGCAGTGAGGGGCAGATCTTAAGGTGTGATAATGGTGGGAATGGCAAAACTTGTCTAAAAAAGGGGGATGTGAATGAGTTGGTGCAAATCTGCCATACCTCTCACATGGGAGGTAATTTTGAGGTGACAATAACAGTCGAGAATCTTTGGGACGCATTCTGGTGGCCAACCATGAGGCAAGATGCGACTCGATGGGTGCATGGCTGCCAAAAATATGGACCGCTACTGCCAACTAACTCAACCAACCAGATCTCCGCTATGCAATCGTGAGATGTGCTGCAAATTGATCACGTTTCAGGATGACCTCAGACGCAATTGGTGAAGTTGGTTTTCCAGCGGCTGTTGATTGTCTAACCAGCTTTGTGGTCGCCAATCAGAGCAATGACTGGTGATGTTTCAGTGAAGTTTTTGGTCGGCCACATAGTCATGCAATTTTGTTTGCGGCGGGCTGTGTACACTGATAATGGTTCACATTTTCCTGGCTCACTTGAGATGGCATGTGAACGGCTGAATGCCAAGTTGTGTAAGTCAATTGCCTATTTCAGGTGATTGTATGGAAAACCGAAAAAGCACACCGCCTTGTTCTTGATCGCATCTAGAGGACACATGATGTCAAGAGCTGGCTGCAGCTACTCAAGTACGCCTTGTTTGCAGTCAATGGCCGGGTGCCTAGCGACAATGCATCCTTGCTTGAACTAATGGTTGGAATGCGACCCCACAGTGAGTCAGAGATTGAAGCTTTACAACGGTTGTATGGAGATCCGAAGATTGATGAGCAGTTGGCCTACTCAAGCAGGCCATGTTGGGTGCCGTCCATGATGAGATGGCAGCAAAATGAGAGGGATCACACAAGTTGGTGACCAGGTTGTGAGTTGGAGACAAAGTGTGGTTTGCACAGCCATGGGAAAGGAGAGTGGTTGGCAAATGTCACAGTATGATGCCCGTTTGGCGGGAACTGGCTCTGATTGTGCGGCAGGGTGATAGAGGTTGCATGGTGCGATGGCGAATGTGTGCAAACTCAAGAGGTACTATGAGCAACAATGAAAGAAGAGAAAGAGAAAAGGGTTGATTGAAGGATCTGATTGGAAACTAAGGACTGGTAGGATCATGTGTGTGTTTCTGGACATGGCTGATTTGAGTAATCTGAAGTAAGTATGAGGATGGTGTGCTCACCACGACCTTTGACGTGGTTGGAATCTTTCCTTTTTGTGCTTGTCGGCATATCTTGAGGGTGTTCAAAAGCTAAACAGATCTTTGTATTTGAACGGCTGGTCGTGTGAAGAATTCGCCTCCTGGCTCGTTTCTTGGGGGCGTTGAGACGTGTTTTTTGAGCATGTCCGCGCTCTCTGCGGTCCCAAAACTGTTATCTTAACGCCTCGTTCGTCTCACAATGGAGATATATTTAACGACCTTACAAAGGGATAGTGGTACATGTCCGCTCCCACACTGGTGGACCAACGAGCAAATGTGGAAATGTATGCAAATTCCACAACTACAAAGTGCGAGTCATTTGGCTCGATAAGGAATAATTTGATTGCCATAGCGATTATCCATGGTCAGATGAAGAACTTGCATGCACCCGCCAAGATTCTGTAGCGGAAGAATACAAGACGTGATTGACGTTGATCAAAACATGAATCAAGAGCATCACCAATGATAAAACTCAAAATAGGGTCAAGTGTGGGTTGAGCCCACTATTTCAAAGGCCGCATCGCTTGGATGCAGAATTCTCAACCTGCATGATCTTCAAGCGGCATCATGGACATGCCCTCCATTTTGAGTAGTGGGATTGACGATAAAAATGATGTACTCAAAGACCCTAATTTTCTGAAAGTGAAAATTTTGCCCACCGTTATGTCATCGCCATCCAAGATGGCAGGTAGCTCATGCAATCATTCTGCAAGGCACAGAAGAAGCTAATTGCCAATGGATCAGCAAGAAACAATGGTCGGTTGGGCAAGCCCCCAAGATCGACAATCGCTGATCATTGAATCCTTAGGGTGGTAAGTGCCAATGCCAGCAGATGAATGGCAAGGGAAAATTCCACTACACTTCCTTTGCCAAAAGAGCAACATGGACTGGAGACTCCAGTCTGAAATCTCTCATCTCGAGACTTCTTGGCATGTGGGCTGTGGGCGGCATTGCCAGTACAAGAATAATCAACATTGGGCAATAATGTACAAAGCTAGATTCGTAGAGTTCCACCAGTGACCTGACAATCAAACACTCCCCAAGCTATTAACAACAGGGAATTGCATTATGGAGGCCATTGAACAACATGGGGCAACATTCTAGCCCAATACATCAAAATCAGCAATGTAAGGCCAGCAGTATGCCAAGTTCACTTCAACAAGTCATTTTTGGTGCCAAAATAAGAAGTATGATATCATTGGATAGTGGGCTACCATCACTTGAATGAGCATCATTACTTAGTATTTGAACATTAGTACGTGGTTGGGACGCTGGCGTATTCTCTGGATGGATGCTGTGTTCCTTCTAACTTCCATTTTGTTTCACAATTCCTCGGAGAGGGCTTCAATTACCCGCTTCCTTGGCACGACGGGTAATTGGCGCTTATGCTTTGATCGATTGCACAAGAGAGGCTCTGTGACATCTCCAGGACTTGCAATCTGTCAGCCTGTGGTCGCTTGAGTAGTGGATCTCAAATCGACCTCGTTGCAATATTTGCTCCAGTGAGCATGGCATGCTGCTGATAGTTTTGGTGGGAGAACGGCATTATCGTCAATAATCAAGACCAAATGACAATTCAGGCGCTTAAGGTATGACAGAAACAGAGCAAGAACAGAAAACAAAATATATCTACAAAGGGTGGCGCCTGAGTGAGCATGAGCAGCAACCCTCATGAGCAGGACGCAGCACACAGGCATGCAACGCCCGCCACGCTCACAATGCTGCCCTGGCAAAGTTGAGAGAATCCAACAGATGCCATGGACCCGCCAATGCTTGCACCGATTCCCACAAACACGACATGCAGCGAAAATCTCAAAGTGCCATCCAGGCTGTCAATGGATCCAATCCGTGACCAGCACAGCCCTTGAAGACTGGAGCATACATGCCTCGGTTGATTCGGATCACGCCTTGCCACCAAACAGTTTCTTCAGCTCCCCATTTTCGTGCATTTGCTTCAATATGTCGGAGCCACCCACAAACTCCCCATCAACGAAAACCTGCCACGTTGAGCAAATGGCCGTAAGATACAGAGAATCCGTTTGAATGCATTTGCCAAAGCATGGCCAACCACTGCCTTTGCAGCCATCCCAATAGTGCTGCATGTCTGCTGGCTGAACTAGGAATACCTTCAGTATGCAGGTTTCCTTGGACCCCAAACACAAACAATCAAATAGTCGGCAATCTCACCAACTCAGACTACTACAATGGCAGGCACCAGCGCCCTTGTGCTCAGGAGGCAGACACATGATATTCATGTCTATGCTGGTTCAACAGAGCTTGTTCAATTCATGTCAGCCACAATACAGCCAGCGTCAGCGAAAGGTTGAATGGTTCTGCCTCCAGTGTTGAAGCAATGGATGGATGCAAACAGACCTTCCATAACGATGATGAGGTGCAAGGGAAGCAGCAGATAACAAAGATGTACGAACACACTAAAATGGTGTCAATTCAAGACCTGCATATGATAGCTTGTTATTCCGTTTAGTAAATGCCGCTGCTCACCAATATTGCGGGAAGCTCACAGTTATCAGTCAATACATGATTGATTGGTCGATCGATTGAGATAGTGTACTGTGTTTCTACACAAGGGTAGGCACACTGCATTCACCAGTACAAACCCACCACGTGGCAAAATTGATGCAGCTGATTCAGAGACGAGGGCTACCAAAGGTTGCATGTGAGACTGCCAGTTCTTCACAGCGCTAGATGTCGATGCTTCACTCAAACAGAAACTTGGCTGACTGGTTGATTGAGTGATGACTAACTGACAAAAGTGAGATCCATGTGACAACAGGTGCAGTAACATGAATGGGGTTGACAGTTCAATGTTTTGCCATTTCTCAAAACTAGAGTAAACTTGACTGAGATGGGGCAGTGCATGGCCCTTTCCCAAGATCTCCAAAGGCACAGACACATGGCTACACTACCAGACTCAGTTGACCTGTGTTGAAGAAGGCACTGTGTCCATTTGGTACATTTAACATCAATTAGACTCTCAGATCAGACACCCTGTCACTCCCCTGCCTCCTCCTTAGTGTCAATCCTGATGTCGATGCCAAGATTGAATCAGCAAAATTACCAGGTAGTGCAATACAACTTCAAGATGTTTTGAGGAAGACACTTACCAGATTTGCAGCGATTGCACTGCGCTAAAGATGGGATTCCATAAGCCACAGCAAACAATGGGGGCAGCCCCAACGGCCATCAGTGGAGATGACAAGGGGCCTTCCTTAAAAATTGAACAGTTGAGGGAGGTTTTCAGGCAAGTCATAGGCGGTTTGCCACTCATCAGCTGCATTTGGGGCATGTCTGCAACTTATGTCGATTTTGTGGCAATTACATAATTCTTACTGTCAGAGGTCTGGACTCCCCCTCCCTAGTGCCAAATTGATGCCAAGCATACCCAAAATCGACATAGTGCCTGCCCTCACATGCTTGCCAACATGCATGCGGGCCAGAAAGGACTGATTACGGCGCAGCAAATCTCCACAGCTGTATCTTTTGCTTAAGCAATGGCTCATAGAACATCTCATGAACTTAAATCAACGAAATCAATCACAACAATAGTATCGTATCTCATTTCTCCAATCATCGGGTTTGGGGTGCACTTTCTAACACCCAGTGTGAGTTCCTTGCAGACCCCCAAAACAGCTGTTGTCTGATGATCTGAACCATTGCATGCACATACCATAACCAGCCCGTCGTGTTCACATCAGTATCATGCATTCAATCATTCATACACCCAAATGATGAATGCAATGAAGTCCTTTTGGAGCCCTCACCTGGGGAATGGTTGGCCAGCTGGTAAATTTCTTGATGCCTTCCCTAATTTCTGGATCAGCCAAAACATTGCGGCTGCCATATGTCACACCTGACAATGGTACAGCAATGGTTAATGGCTTGATTCAATCTGTCAAAATAATGCCAAGCAGGGTTCCGCACCTTCAAGGCAATGACAGGCATTTGGCCATTCACACCATGGCCAAGTGTTGCCCCTGCAAAGTGCACATCTTGCAACCCTATCCCCAGCACCAAATCCATCTTTAAACTGCTGTTTTTCACTTCATACCTATGTGCAAAACCGCTCAAAGCCTGCCAAGCTGTGACATGTCTGAAAACGACATACTGGTATTCATACTCATAGAGAAGACAAATACGGCATATCGATCGATCGGATACCAGATGAGGGCAAGCCCATCCCAAACTCGTACATCACTCAACACAAAGAGGTTCTTAGCAAAGATAACAGCATGCGGTGGGTCTCCTCACTCCAAACACTGACATTTCAGAAGAACCGTGGGCCCAAAGCCATTGATTCCCCTTTTCACTGTGTTGAAATAGTTTTCTCATTTCCAAGTTGAACTCCAGATGCTTTGAAAATAATAGTTTCTGTTCTGATTGTTCTGGCTGCTGATGCTGTTAGTGAGAAGGAAAGGAGGCTCACGGCAAAACACCATGCTGTCTGGACTTTCTGCTGTGTTCAGGTGTTGGGTACCTTGGCGCCTTATGTGACACCTGGGTTTCTAGACCTCAATGCCTGCACATATACTAACCCCCTCCCCCTCCCCAGCAGAGCCCCAAACCCGCTGTGTACATGGGTTTTTGCTCTTCACGCTGCTAATGCTATGTGCATATCCTCTTGCACTTGATGAATCTGTGTTACCTCTCCAAACAATTGAAAAGAGTCTTGCGCGCAGTTTCTTGTGAGGTTTGCAAGTTCAACGACATGTTTCTCTGATGTTTCAACCAATCCTAAACATGCTGTCTTTGTCCAATGACAGTAGATCTCCAACGTGGATTCAAATCCGCTACACAAATTCAGCACTGTTGCTCATCCAAAACCAAATATAAATGCAAAAGATGAGAAGAGTGATAACAAGAATGGCAATCAATGCCTAAGCGATGGTGTTGAGGTGATAGAACGGATGCATCTGCTGGCCAGGGCCACTTAAAAACCTGCCAGTTCCTTTCATGCTGGACCAATCCAGGATACAAGCTCCTTGCTTGTCATTCTACGCACCATAATGGTTCAGAATTTGGCAAGCCAGCATGCTGAAACCACACTGTGGGGCTTCTGGGACACCCTTCATGTACAAAAAGACCTTGTGTTTTGATATGTCTTCTTCGATGGTAGCCACCACGCCTCCGGGTTGCTGGGGCTTCAACTGTGCCTTGAAATCGTCATGACTGTCGCTGTCTGAGCTCAGGTCCCTGAAGAAGTTCTGGAATATGCCAGAAGAGGCTGCGACAACAAGTGGAAAGGCAGTGGCAAAGTCACATGGATCTGCAGGGCAGGCTTGTAAGTATATGACAATTTGCTGCTGTTCCACCAACAATAGGCAATGCTGTGGACTGTGAAGCAGCATAACATTCATTCCCAAAACATAAACGATATATTCTGTTCCAATTCACCATCGAACAGCACCAAGTGCCACCGGTGCGTCACAACAATAAGCACAGAAAAGTCACATATCTTGAGAAGGAATGTCGTTGCCAAATGTCCATCACCAAATCACGTGTATGCCATTTGTTGATGGCAACTACCATTCGACTCAACAACGGACACAATCTTGCAGTTCTGGAACTCAGAGCAAAGCGTACTTGTCGGTTGCTGTAGCCAGGAATTCAGATGAACTTTGGATCCAACATCCCAGTGAATGGCTGCGAAAACTGGCCACCATGCTGAGCCAAGTGATTTTGCCAGATCGTAGCAACATTGATTGCACCAGCATAGGAACTCGACGAAGCTGAGTCCTAACCGCCGAGAATCGACGCTGATGTGCCATAACAGTCGCCACCCACAATCACAGTGTCGATCGGATCCAACACGTGCGGCACGCGCACATCCCATCGGCTCACTAACAGCCAAAAACCCCTGAACCGATGATGGACTCACGACTACGAAGACAGATATGCAGCCGACACTCACGTATGAAGGAGACGCTTGTCGCGCCACGGCTCAGGCGACAAGCGGCTGCACGTCCCAGACCCAGCATGCCGTCCTGTTACGCCCAACGGCAAAGGCACTCGGGATTCCCCCAGGACGCTGTCGGGTCAGCCTCGTATTTGCAGCGACCTGCAGCCCCACGGTGCCACCTTCCTGCTGGGAATGTGTGTGTGCTTTTGTTGTCCTTTCGGCAAGGAGCCAGAGGAGG